AAGAGAAGAGAAGAGAAGAGAAGAGAAGAGAAGAGAAGAGAAGAGAAGAGAAGAGAAGATGAGGAATGACTTACAGATGAACTGATGTTCAGGAGACCAGTGAAACAAATGGGTCGTTATTGGGGGAGATTAAAGGACACTTTGAGTATCACCTTAGTAGAAAGAAAAAAATAGAAATCATGATAATTGAGTTTATAAAGACATTTTAGTCTAATAAAAACAAAAAATAATGAAGATTGGGATTTTTGTATGTAGTCAAAATGCAAAGGACATTACATAATGATTGCAAACCTCTAATCCTGAGCACTGTCTTTCTTGTTAGTTTAAGCATCAGTTCTCTTCTGACTTGGAGATGTATGCTCATGTCACACATATGCTCATGTCTCCATCACAGTGAACTATAGACCTATAGCTCCTCTGAAATTTCTCTGAAGCCCATTGCAGATTCTTCCCAGACACTTCTTTTCTCTGACCTGACATTTGTTTTTCTAGAAGCTGTTCCCATGGATCCTACAATCTGGCAGTCATCCCACCTATCTCTATTACACAACTGTCGGCCATTCAGCTCTTTATTAAACCAATCAGAAAGGGCATTGGCAGTGACACATCTTCACAGTCTACAAATATTCTGCAACACAGACAAATATGCAGGCAAATCAACCATATGCATAAAATAAAAAAAATAAAGTTAAGAAGAATGACAGACCTTGCTTATGTCTTTGAAATGCCCTATATCTATAAATGTGTTGGGAAGAGTTCCTTCAATTCCTATCGTGTTGAGAGTTTTGTTATTTTGGAGTAATATTAATTTTTTTGCATGGTTTAGGTAAGCTTGTTAAAATGCTCCCATATTTCACCCATGAATTATGTCAGTGTCTTCTGTTTTATTTATGTGTATGCTTACTAAATGTTTACTTACTAGATTCTTTGAAACTGATCCTTATATTCCACATTGGTCTCAAACCTCCATTGTAGCAAAGGCTCCTCTTGCACCCCTGACTCTCCAGCTTCTGCCCCTCTAGCACTAGAATGACAAAAGTGTACCAACATATCTGTCTCGTTGACTGAAACAGGAGTTATAAAGACAGTCATGAGCTGTCCCCATGTGGAACCTGAGAGCCACAATTGGGTCCTCCAGAAGAGCAACAACTGTTTTTAATCTCTCAGCTATCTATATCTCCAGCATATTGCTGATCCCTGCCACCTCCAACCGCGATGGTGTCTCCCCCAGTCCTAACCTTAATGAACTAGTCCTTAATGAACTAGCTCCACAGGTGGTTTTTCGTTGTTATTTCTTTTTCATCCAGATCTTCTCTATTTCTGTTTCTTACTTCTTTATTGGTTCGTGGGGGTAAAAACTGGAAGACTCTATCCAACACTTCTGCTTCCCTCTCTTCTACTTTTTGGTGAGGGATAGACATCATTTTCAGACAAGGACTTTCTGAGAAGGGTGTTTGCAGAGGAAGAGTACAACCCAAATCAACAGATGATTCTGAGTAAATTTATTTTTTTCCCTAAAAGATTCTTGAGATTGATATTCTTATATTTATATTTTTTCAGGTAAAAAGCTCAAAAGAAAATATCTCAGAATCGTCTCCCCTGTGTTTCCTGCCAGGATTTACTGCTGCTATGTAGTGATCATCATTCTCACTGTAGCTGTCATTGCACTGTCTGTTGCTCTGTCATTGTCAGGTGAGTGACATCTCCAGATCCTGCAGCATTCTGTCCACATCCACACTGTCAGTTACACTAACTGAGCACTGTGAGCCAGGCACTGTATGAAGGGCAGGAGAGAAAACACACTGGAAGTTCCTGTTCTGTGGGAACATAGGATCTAGCAGGAAGATGCTGAAAAGGAACAACACAGGCTGTAGTATGCACAGGAGGCCAGGTTCAGCATCCCTGGGAAAATGACATTTAGTTACCTCTAGAGAGATGCAGGAGACATAATTCTACCTTGGGGAACTATTTACAGAAGAAAACAAGAAGAGCAATACCTAAAGGAGGAAGGTCAAGGAAATGTGAGGACAGAGAAAATACAGCACCTCCTCCCATTACTCATCATATGAGTTATCATGTTCAACTCTATTTTTGAAAGTATTCAATGAAAAGTTTTTGAGGTGATCAATTTACAGAATTTTAGGACTACATTATTCAGAAGAGTCTAATAAAACTCTTGTACTGTTGCCATCTAGGTGGGGGTGGTTCTCTTTCCCTCTTGGTTGGTTGGCCAGCAAGTTGAGAGGAGAAAGATGAAGAAGGGGTGACAGAACGTTTTATATACCATACATACTTACAAATGAAGAGAGACCTCTATGAAGCAGACTTAGTTGAATCAGCTCAACTTCATTTCAGAGTTATAGGAATATATAAGATTGAGGAGCCTAGGGATAAACCATGGTGCGGTCCTATCACAAAACCTGGTACGTAGCAGTAGGGTTCCTACTGCACAAGTCTTCTTAGCAGTGCTCTGTATCAAATATCAAGCTAAAGTTGAATCAATCATCTGGTTTTAAAAACAGGCATCTGGTTTAGAGACAGCTTTCAGATAATGTCAATCCTCCAGGCCCAGGGTCATCCTTCAGATAAAGATAGACAGAGAGAAGGAAGCTTTGTTGGGGAGGGAGGAAGTTCCATATTGTCAAGCTTAGAGAGAAAGCTGCTAGACTATGGCAGACTGTGACCTCTAACGAGCCAGCATGTAATCCAACATCTGAGAAATCCCTTAGTGAAACAGGCCCACACTGTATATACTGCCTTCCCAATAATCCTTACTCTTATTTCAGTTATCAGGCTGACTGTCAAAATAGGTGTCCACACAGGGTGCTTGTTGTTCTAGTAACTCCTATTGTAGTGAACAATCATAAAGCACAGAAAGTGATGATATTATAGAAATTCATTTCCTTGGTGCCCTATTGTCAGTGAGCACCTGAAAGAGATTGTGGCATGGGCCTGGGCTAGGGATGCCTTTAGATAAAGGACCATAATCCTAAGGAGAAGACTCCAACTTATCACTTAGGAAAATTACAGTCAAATTCACACCTCACACCTGAACTAAGTAGGGTATGTTAATTCTTGCTACAATACATTTTATTGTCCAAATTTTAGTAAGAAGACAAGAACAGGTCTCAATCGAAAATACCTATACCTATGCTGCTTGCCCAAGAAACTGGATTGGATTTTGGAATAAATGTTTTTATTTCTCTGAAGACTCGAGTACTTGGATATTAAGCCAGAACTTCTGCATGGAACAAAAGGCCCAGTTAGCTCAATTTGACAACATGGAGGAGCTGGTAAGAAAGAATTAGGAATTGGTTTGTTTTTTCTGTTGAATATGTATTGCCTTGAGATAGACTGGCTAAAGATAAAGCATGAGGAAGTCTGTGTCTCTCAGATACACCCTCATGTCATCGAAAGAGGAAACTGTGGGGTGGGGACACTCAAGGGTCATCTGAAACAAAAAGACACGTATATTTGCTTTCCATGTTTTATGACAGAATTTCCTGAAGAGATACAAAGGGACCTCTGACTACTGGATTGGCCTACACAGAGAGTCACCACAGCACCCTTGGAAGTGGACGGACAACACAGAATACAACAGCTCGTATGTTTTCAAATTATTTTCCTTCTACTGTGATCATTTGTTGTGAAGTATGTGAGTTGTGTCTATTGGAGAGGAATGTCTGTGTCATGTGAAGCCAGCTGTACTGCCTTGAAGGTATATTGGCCATCATTTTCAAAACTTTTTCTTAGTGTGATTTTCCTCAAAATCTTTAGCATATCATCCCATTTAAGGTAGCTATTGTCTTCTCCATCACTAACTTAAATTTCTTTGTTGCTGATAAATGCCCTGTGTCAAATGTAGAAAGAACCTTAGATGGGCAAGGAGAGCCCTGAGTCTTCAGGAAGCCACCGCAGCAGGGCAAGCCTGAGATCCTGTAACATGAGGGGCCAGCTTGTTGGGTTTCTGTCCTGTCCAGTACCCCACATCTGGCAATTCCCAAAGAAAATAACACAGAGTCTACATTAGGTTATAAACTGATTGGTCCATTAGCTCAGGCTTCTTGTTAACCCTTGTAACTTATATTAACCCATTATTATTATCTATGTTAGCCGCACAGTTCAGTTCCTTTCTCAGTGTGGCAGCTCACATGTTGTTTCTTCGGTGATCTGGGCAGGAATGGGAGGAATCAACTTCCTTCTTCCCAGAATTCTCCTCCTTTCCTTGCATCATTTCCACTTCCTGTCTGGTTTTCCCACCTACACCTCCTGCCTGGCCAATCAACATTTATTTAAAACATGATTGACAGAATACAGACAATTCTCCCGCACCAAGATCCATCAGTCCACTGTGTGTCAGGCTGCACCTGTTCACAGAAGCAGAGGCTTCATGGCCTTGAAAACCTCCTCTAAAATCTTCTAACTAGAGAGCACCCTAGACAATTCTTAAATGTGAGCATAGACTTTTCGACTGGAGCCATTATACTGGAATGTTAGATCACAGACCCAGTCTTGTCTATTATTAAAGTCCATTCAGCAATTTACTAAAATGTAATTTTTCCCCATATGTGAAATGCTTCAAAAGAGAATTGCAAATCATCCTCAGTGAGACCACCTATGGCTGTAGTTCATTTGAACAGGGTAGCAAGTACTAGTCAAATGCCTTGTATACATATTTCAGGTTTCAACATGGATGAATGCTAAAGGTACTGTGTTCCAATCAAGCAAGATTTTACCGAGGAGCAAATGCAGTTCTAGGCTCTGCAGATTTACTATTTTTGGTTTAATTTCAGAATTCCCATCCGAGGAGTGGAAGACTATGCCTACCTGAACAACAACGGGATCAGCAGTGCCAGGATCTATGCAGACAGGAGATGGATCTGTAGCAAGCCCAACAACTATACCCTCCAATGCCAAATTCCTTTTGTTTCTTTCTAGTCTTTGTCAAGAGATGCTTTGCAATGTGATATCTACAGTTGCTGCTCTATCCCCTGTTTGCCAACATTGTTATCAAAAAGAATTGATAATATTTCTTTATATCCAAATGAAAATCATGTTGGAGAACTGTACATATAAGGGTTTAGAAAAACATAGGTGAGTCTAAAATACTTGTTGGCACTCATACCTTAAGCCTAAAGTACAATTAATGTTTTTGACCCCTACTTTTATGAAATGAAGTTTTTGTTCAGACAGTTCTTTCTTTGAATTTATGAGATCACCAGAATGAGTTCCTCATTTCAACTTTAATAATTACAAACAATTGGACAGTGGTGGTACATTCCTTTAATCCCAGCACTCAGGAGGCAGAGCAGGCAGATCTTTGTGAGTTTAGGGCCAATCTGGTCTACAGATCTGTTACAGGAAAGATAGGGGCTGTTACCTAGGGAAATTCTGTCTCAAAAACCAAAACCAAAGGACTAAAAAAATAAAAAAAGAAGAAGGAAAAAAAAGCAGCAGGCAATGGTGGTAAAAGCCTTTAATCCCAGCACTCAGGAGCCAGAGGTAGGTAGCTATCTGTGAGTTTGATGTCAGATTGGTCTACAAAGTAAGTTCTAGGACAGCTAAAACTACACAGATACATACTGTTTCCGGCTGAAAAAAAAAGAAAAGGAAAGAAAAAGAAAAAATGAAAAGCAGAGGGCTGGTGTTTTCTGAAAATTACTTGTGTTTTCAGAAAAATAAAAGACATTTACTCCCAAGTCCATCCAGTTTCTTAGGCAAGCAGCATGGGTATTTTTGATTGAGACCTATAATTACACATGTAACCCCAGGTAGTTAAGGGTTGAAATAGGAGGATTACAGATTCACAAGTGAGGTCTGACAGTATGGGAATTCTAATGATAGGGAAGATGAGAATCCATTTTCACCATCCCATAATTTGGGGACACACACTATACATTCTTTTGAAAAGTTGTTCCAACATGTAGAAGAATTTAAAAAGTATTTAACACTAATATTTACTTCATACTTTCCAATTTAAAAAATTAGGGACATTGTCAAAATGTTTCTCTACTTTAGTTTTCAATGTTTCTGTTTCCAATTATTCTACTCTAAGTACATCTTATAAACAAATGCCATTTTGTTTAATGATTTGCTTGGATTTATTTCACATCAAATGGGAGTTAAACTCCTCAGGCATTCAAGACTCCTCAGTAGTGTGTGTACAAATGGGCCCTAAAATCAAGGTATTTAAAATCTTTATAGAGCAGCTACACTGTACTGATGAGTTTCAAAAAGAACGAAATATCAGGTTGCAAAGCACCTCTTGGCCTCTTCACCTCCTTCTCTTTCCCTTGTTCTGTTCAAAAAATACTTTTCTGACTAATTATTTTTGTATTCATTGATTATGCATAAGACTACATGTATATGGTGTAGGAGATCCTTCTTTCTATGTGTTTCTTGTATTGGTTAATGAATAAAGAAACTGCCTTGGCCTGGTAGGGGAAGAACTTAGGTAGGTGGAGAACTGAATGCTGGGAGGAAAAACGAGACACCATGGAGTCCCCAGAATCAGACATGTTGAATCTTTCCTCGTAAGTCACTGCCACATGTCAATACATAGATTAATAGAAATGAGCTAAATCAAGGTGTAAGAGTTAGCCAATAAGATGTTAGAGCTAAGGCCAAGCAGTGATTTAATGAATATATTTTCTGTGTAGTTATTTCGGGGCTATGCTAGCTGGGTGGCGGGAAGAACAAGCGGCCTTCTCTTTTGCAACATGTATATGTGTGTGTGTGTGTGTGTGTGTGTGTGTGTGTGTGTGTGTGCCTGCCCTGTGAGTCAATGGTTTTATCCTGTAAACTTTTGTTTCTTGTATTTGTTTAATATAATGCTGATTGACTGGTGGCCAGGCCGGAAGTATAGGTGAAGCAACCGTGCAAGAAGTAGAGGCAGGGCAATGAGGACAAGAGAATTCTGGAGAAAGGATTATTCAGTCTGCAGTCATGATCCAGACACAGAAGAAATAAGATGTGACTGCTTCGCTGAATAAGGTACCAAGCTACGTGGTTCACATAGTCAAGAATAATGAGCTAATATAAGTCATAAGAGTTAATAAGAAGTCTAAGCTACTAGGCCAATCAGTTTATAACTAATGTAGACCTCTGTGTGATTTCTTTGTGATCTAACTACTGTGGGAACCAGGCAGAACAGAAACCTCAGACAACATATATATGTACCACCTGGGCTGGCAGAGCTCAGAAGGAATGAGATCCCTGAAACTAAACTGATAAATGTGCACCACCTGAGCTGGCAGAGAACAGAAGGCATCAGGTTCCGGGACTAGACATGTAAACTCATGCTGGCACTGGAATTCAGGTCTTCTGTAAGAACAAGTGCTCTTAACTGCTGAACTATCTCTCCAGCCTTCTCTCCTTCCTTGATGTTTCTTTTATTGACACTTCTTGCCAAGCTTTACAAAAGTTAAGTTTTTGTAAAGTACAAATGCCATGCTTTGTACCTGTCCTTTTCTGAACAGAACAAAAGCAGGAATAGGGGTTAAGGGGGATGAGGGTGGAAATGGGAGGAGGGAAGGGGGGGAAATTACGTTAAAAAATACATTTAATTATAGAAAATGCAAATCACTTTTGGGTAACATACTGTGCTTATTTTACAGCTATATTTTATTATTTATTCAATGAATAAAAGCATATTTTTATTTTGGGAAATGACTTTCTGAGTCCCCTCCCCTACACACACACACACACACACACTTCATTTAGCCCTAATAAAAATTATTTTTGTAATCTGTTTATTTCCTGCATCCTCAGGGAATAACAGTAGTGTGTTCAATAAAGGAGTCTTCAAAGCAGACCTATGGAATGAACCATGTTGTCACAATTATGGTTGTGAAACTGTTTCTAACAAAGAAAGCTATATTTCTATAAAAAGTTCCTTTTATATCATTAAACTGTGTGAACTTTATCCACAAAAGAAACTTGATAGGTTTATGACCTTATCTGACCCAATAATCTTGTTCACAGTAGATTTGAAAAATAGACCTACTAATACCAACTCTCAAATTCAGATCAGATAACTCAGGGAAATGTCTTGTCAGTGTCTTCATCAGATTTATAGTAATCACAGGGTAGGGTTTTCCCCCCATTTCTCTGTGTAAATAATTCTGAAAAGAACCAGTAAATTTTCAAGAGCATCAACCTTTCTAAGGAATCTCCCACAAGCTGCCAGTGAACTGCTCAAACCAGTTTCTTACAGAGACGGGAATTTAACACTAGTAAAATGAATCATTTAAACAGCATATAGGAAACTGATTTGGAATGTCCTTCTGCATGCTGCAAGTATGTGTTGTTTTTATTGGTTGATGAATAAAGCTGTTTTGGCCTATGACAGGGCAGAATATAGCAGGTGGGAAATCCAAACAGAGATGTGGAGAGAAAGAAGGCAGAGTCCGGGAGAGACTCCATGTAGCACCTAAGGAGTAAGATATCATCAGTACATTACTGGTAAGCCACAGCCACATGCAGAACATAGATTAAAAATGGATTATTTTAAGCTTTTAGAACTAGTTGGTAATATGCTTGATCCATTGACCATACAGTTATATTAATATTAAACCTCTAAGTATTTATTTGGGAACTGGTGTGTGGGAAACAACCTTCCATTTATAGGAAATTAATATTTTTCTTTCTTCTTTTTCTCTTCTGAGACAGAGTCTCACTATGTAGACCAGGCTGGCCTTGAACTCAGAGATTCCCCTACCTCTGCTTCCTAAATGCTTGGTTTAAAGGAGTGTGCCACCATACTTGGCTTAGATTTTTATGGGATTGAGAGATGTGTCAGTAGTAAGAGTTTTGTTGTACAAATACAAGAACCTAAATTCAAATTCTCATCACCCACATAAAAAACAAGCATGGCTCTTCTCATACTTCTGTTATTTCAGGTATACAGGGGATAGAGACAAGAGGATCCTTAGGGCTTGTTGGTAACAAGTCTGGTTCAAGGAGAAACAATTTTTTCACACAGCAAATAAAGAAAAAGTAGATCATGACTATAATTTGGGATTTATACCTTCTCTTAGATCAAATCCTGGTGTAGGAGGGTTTTCTGTTCATGTGTTGCTTTAATTAGTTAATGAATAAAGAAACTGCTTTGGGCCTGATAGGGCAGAACTTAGGTAGGGGGAGAAGACAGAACTGAATGCTGTAAAGAAAGACAGAGTGAGAGAAGACATGGATCCTCTGTCTGAGATGGACACCGGTTAGAATCTCTGGTAAGCCACAGCCACGTGGCTATACACAGATTAATGGAGATGGGTTAAACTAATATGTAAGAGTTAGCCAATAAAAAGTTAGAGCTAATGGCCAAGCAGTGTTTTAATTAATACAGGTTTTTTGTGGTTATTTCAGGTGTAAGCTACCCAGGCAGCTGGGACAAACAAGCAGCCTGCTCCCTCCAACAACATCCCTCAAGTTTATTCTGAATTTTTTATTCTTTGAGAATTTTGTTCTATGTATTTTATCCCTATTTACACTCTCCCCAATCCCATAATCCACCTGATCCGTTCTTACACAAACAAATTTGTATCTTTGTCACAAACAAACAAAGCCCATCAAGAACAATTTTTACTGTTCAAATATTCCCAGATATATGGTATTCCTCTGGAGCATGACTGACTCTCCAAGGGTGACATTTTTAGAGTGAAATATCTCTTCTGCCACGTATCCAAGTATGACCAATAGCTCCATGGTTAATAGTGAGATTTCATTTCCAATTCCCACACTGGAATCTTAAACTTTTTACACCCTCATTACTGCAAAGATCCCCGAGTACTGGGAGTTCTCATATAGTATATATGTTCCCTTTAGACCTGAGACTTCTTAGTATCTTATTTTCTACATCTTGTCCAGTTTGTGGGCCTTTGTGTTGATCACCATCTACTACAAATAGAAGCTTCTCAAATGGGGCTTGAGTGATGTATTGATTTGTTTAGCAACAGGTTTTTGGCCCAATAATAGTGCCAGCTTTTGGTTTCTTCTTGTCTTCTTGACTTAAATTCAATTGGAAAATGGTTGGTGAGTTCTCTGGATATTTGTGACACTATTGCTCCAGTGGTTATGTCTTGCCAGGCCAGTAAGTATTGTAGCTTGCATGGTTCAAAGCTGAGTTTGATTGATGATTACTTTTCTCATTTGATAGCATGGATAGACCTTTCTGGAACTATGGACACTATCAAGTAGGATGAAGTTTCTGGGTTAATACCAACTTGATTTCTCCATGTTCTATGATTCAAATATGTACTGTGTTTGGCAGTAGGGTTTTACTTAAAGCTTTAGAGGAAAATCATGAGAAATGGCAATAACCTGCAATGTTGGGGAGTTTATAGAATGTCACTGTCCAACAACTCAGAAAAAGTAACCATTCCTGGCACTGTACTTTTTAATTTTGGTCTGTGGTGTCTAGTAGAGATATTGTCTCTTATTTTTAGGATAACTTCATTATACACACACACAGATATATATATATATATATATATATATATATGTATATATATGTATTTCAAAAATATATAGTATACATAAATATCCATAATTACATGTATGCATGCATACAGACAGACAGACATATGCTTCTATGGTAGTAGGATTCCATATCATCTTTCAAAGGGTCTTTAATGTTATCTCTTCACATATTCCATATTCCACCCTGATCTTTGCTGCCACAACACAATGTAACACTTGTTCCATCATTCCATTTTAACCTTTTCTAGCAGTGTGTTCTGCCTCCCCGTCCTTGAAAGTTCCTCTCTATTGCTTCTTGGTAATGTTCTGACTTTTGTGATCATTGCAGCAGAAATACAAATATCTGAGTGCCAAAATCTAACATTTACAAATGAGAGGCAATATGTGGCTTTTTTTTCTGCTTCTGGGTTACCAACTCTGAATGATTATTTCTAGCTCTATCCATTTACATGCAAATTTCATAATTTAACTTTTATTAATAGCAGAATAATATTTTGTTGTGTAAATGTACCATGTTTCAATATCCAGTCATCAAATGGTAACCATCCAGGTTCTTTTCATTTCTTGGCTATTTTAAATAGAACAGCAATGATCAAGGGTGAGCAGGTAAGTCTAGACTAGGATACGGAGTCTGCCCTGGCTGTTCTTCTGTGACAACTTAACACATGCTAGAGTCATCAAAGAGAAAGGAGCCTCAGTTGAGGAAATTTTTCCCTGAGGTCCAACTAAAAGGCATTTTTTCAATTAGTGATCAATGAGGGAGAACAACAGACCACGATGGGGAGTGACATTCCCTGGACTGGTGGTCCTGGGTTCTATAAGA